AGAAAAAACCTAGTAGCTCTTTCTGGAAAACAGAGCAAAATTTTGTTTCTTCAGAAACCTCAAATTACAATAGTCAGTCATTCTACTTCTCCAATTAGCTGACATTAATAATGAGGCACTATAACTATAATTGTCAGGGCCTTTTTTTATAATTAAATGTATTTTCTTACATCATTGTTCATTTTTGTACCATATTTGATTTCTCCCCTCAGGTGTAGTCCACGCAGTTCTCCCACCATCATAGCACCCGTGATCCATCTCCACAGTCCTTTGTACTCTTGCCTCCCCAATTTCAAAGTTCTCTGTTTTGTGTTTTCTTTGGAGTATTTCTCTGAAACTAATTTTATAAAGTAATGACAAATGTCACAATTTTCAGAAAACTATGTCCTGCGCTGTTTTCACTAGTTCTAAGTTTAAGTTTTATAAATTAATATATTTGACACTGACATTTCAAAATGACATATTTAGAGAAGTGACTATGTAAGATATTTTATCTGTTTTTATGTTTGATATCCTTTGCAACTCTCCCAGTAAATAATGATATATTCTTTTTAAGAGAGAAAAATATATCCTGGTAAAACTATCTCACGAACTCTTCATTTGCTGACTTGTTTGTTTGTTTGTTTGGTTTTGCTTTACTTACCTTAGAAATGCTACTTATTTAGATTTGTATGAAAGATTTTTATTTTTAATGCCTTTATAATAAGATTTTAAGTCCAAGTATTATTAATTTTGATCCATCATTCTAATTGATTTGAATAAAATCCACTATGAATATTTAATTGTCCCCAAAGTATTAGCACTATATTTTATTTGGGAATTGAAAAATGTTATGGACAATATCCTTGCTCTGTACTGAATTTCTGTCCAAAATTCATATGTTGATGTCCTAATCCCCAGCTTCTCAGAATGTAACAATTTAGAGAGAAGGTGTTTAAAGTGGCAATTAAACTTACGTGTGATCACGTAAATACAAAGGGAAAAGATGATTTCTGCAAACAAGGAGAAAGGCCTCAAAAGAAATCAACCCTGAGGATACCTTTATCTTACACTTGTAGCCTCCAGAACTGTGAGCCAATAAACATGCTGTTTAAGGAATCTACTCCACAGTACGGTTATGGCATCCCTAGTAAACTGGTGGAACTCCTAATTAACCCACTTACAACCTGGAAACTATTGTTGATCACAGAACACATCTGGCAAAAAGGAAAATATCATTACATAAAGTCATATTCCTACTAGTAATAGTCTTAATTCCATTGCTTCTAGACTGGTGTTTCCCAATCTAGTTAATAATAGAAGTTAGATTAACTAAATTCAAAATTTCCAAAAGTCTAATGAGAATATAGCCAAGGTAAGATTTAAAAAACATAACTACTTTTTTTTCTAAAATTGCTATCATATGTTGGGTTATACATTCAGGATAAGAAAAAGATCACTATCTCACAAAAAAAAAATTCCATGAAAACTACAAAATCTAAAGATCAAAAACAAATTACCAGTTGTAGAAAATTACATAGAGGAATATATTTATAATGTTTGAAAACAGAAAGACTTTCTAAACAAAAACAAAGAATTCATAAAAGATTTGTTTTGCCTAAGTAGAAATATAAAAGCTGATGATAAATAACACCTTTAATGCAAAAGAAATACAGCCTGGAAAAAATGTTGGTACTATACTTTTATTGTATTATATATAATTGTTAATATCTATTATGGGCTGAATTTTGTTTCCCTACAATTTACATGTTAAGCTCTATCTCCCACAGTGATGGTATTTGGAGATGGGGCTTCGGGCAGTAGTTTTCCAAGAAACCATGGGGGTGGGGTCTCCATAATGGGAATGGTGATCTTAGCAAAAGAGATCAGTCTCTCTCTCTCTCTCTCTCTCTCTCTCTCTCTCTCTCTCTCTCTCTTTTTCTCTCTCTCTCTCTCCCCAACATGTGAAGATACAGAAATGAAGTAACCAGAAAGAGAACCCTCTTCAGGTACCTAAAAACTTTCACCTTCAGAAATATGGAAAATTTCTGTTGGTTTAGCCATCCAAGAGTGTATGGTACTTGGTTAAAGCAGCCCAAGATGACTGAGACAGTACTTCAATATCCAATGTTCTCCCCCAATAAGAAAAAAATTAACATATTAAAAGTGGGTAAAGGTCAGGAACAGGAAATTTACAGAGAAACACAAGTGACTAATGAAAGTAGGAAAAGATGCTCAGCTTCATTAGCAATGGAAAATACAAGTCATAAACCAAAGTATGACTTAAATGTGATTTATTTTTGCCAAGCAGATTGATGACAATAGAATGATTGCTGAAACACATGGTAGGTGATGCCAGGAATAGGACATTTTCTCTTAGCAGAGAATGGAAGTACACATTGTACAATTTAGCAAAGCATATCAACGCTGAAAATGAGTATGCCTTACCCCAGAGGCTCCACATACAAGAAGAAACAAGTATAAGGAGGAGAATATTAAAATAGCATTATTTGAAAGAGGAAAATAACTGGAAAAATAAAGAACTCTCAATGTTCAGTAAGAACACTGTTATTTAAGTTACATCTATATTATGTGAGACTATTTTCTGTTAAAAATAATATTCTATGTGTACTGACACAGACTGTTGAATAAAAAAGTTTTGGAACACAACTGTATATCTAGAATGAATTTACTTTTTAAACTTAAATATAGGTGTATGCTAATGTAGGATTGCCTCACTTAAGATGGGAAAGTTAACATGACAATAGAATGGATTTTGTTAATTTGGGGTTTGCCACTGGACATTGAAAAAAATTCAAGTGAGCTAAAAATGAAACTATAAGACTGAGTTTATATGCTCTTACAAGTGGACATGTAAAATAGCCTTCACATCCAAAATACAGTTCCTTTAGATGTAAATAATTGTCTCTCTTATGAATACCATAAACATGTATGTTCATTATTCATTCATAAACTATATTGTTAACTAAAAAAATGCTTTGGCAAATATAAAACTTTGGGTGGCATAAAAACCTTTCTTCTAATTGCTTATCATATTGTTTTTGATTGATATTTTTTCAGGGCAGAAAGATAACTCTGCCAAAAATTCTTTGCAGTAACTCCATATAGCTAATTTGAACTAAATGTGTGGCATATATGAAATTACCTATGAAGATGACTAAGATTTAGTTTTGTCTATGTTTTGGGTTCCTTCAAATACTGTCTTATTTGAGTTTGAAATGAAGTGACCGTTCTCACTTGGAGAAGAGGAAATGTGGTCGAATCTTGCTCCGTGCTGCTACACACTTTGGGTTTTCTGACAGTTTGATAGAATTCAATATGACAGTATATCAAGGTAAACATGTTCTGTCATGAGAAAATTTAAACTTAAAGGCAAAAATATATTTCGAACATCCTCATTTGTCAGAAAGCAATCATTTCAGGTAATGATGCAATTAAACAATGCTTAGACATGGTACAGAAATGTCTTTTCCCTGCACTTTTAAGAATCAAGTTTTTCACTTTTTATTCTAAATTTTTGATCATCTAAAATGTCTACAAATTGCAAATATCACAATATATATGTGGTATTCATTCTCCCTTAATTTTAAAGATTACAAGATATTTAGAGGAATGAATCTAAAATATTTTCACCCCATGTTTCAAATTTTAAAAAAAAAAGCACAGTTCCAGTTTGAATTATCTAAAGAAGGCAAAGATGCAAATAATTAACCTGATATAGAAATCATTAGTGCTGCCCACCCAGATATTGTTTTTAATCCTGCTCCTGGTCATATCACAGCATGTCACCTATCTCTTCCCCCATATAACTTGTTTTACCCAGAAATGTGAATAAAGTATATGTATTATTTCCAGGTGGAAGTTCAAAGAGCCAGTGCATGTTTGACCACTTTTATTGTTTCCTCTCTACCATGGGAAAAAGTAACTTACAAGATGGTGGCGATTTTGTCATCTGAGGTTTAAACGATAATAATGAGAAAAGTTCTCCTTCTAAGTGGACAGAAGCCATAGATGAGATACAAATCTTTGTGGGTTTCTCACACTGAGACTTGGGAGTTGTTTATTATCACAGACATACCTCAGGTCACTTGACTGACACAGCTGGGCCACTGTCTTAGAAATGAACAGATTCCCATCCAAATTATGACCTGCCTAGGTAAGGTGAGGCACAGAAGAAATAAAAAAAGCAGATGTCACAGTGGGTAGTAAAGGGATCCAAAAGGTAATGAGAGAAAATAAGTTGAAATGCTTCTCATCTAATAAGAGGGAAAATTATACTTTAACTTTCAAGAGTTCTAAGTTTTTTTAAAAAAACACTCTTCCTTAAAAAAAAAAACACTTTGATAAACACTGTTTCAAGTTTATTACAAAAATCATTTGTTTGAGGTTTTAAGCTAGCCAAGCACTAAAATTACATGATGCAAGCAACAAAATATACATACCACTATTTAATCTCTGGTACAATCTGAACAAGAATAACAAGCACAAAATACACTTATTCACATAACACATTTCATCTACTGTTAGACTATATCAGTAACAATTTGAACTCCAAAATTATTGAAAGGTAGTAAAACATTCTCACACCCAGATGAAGTAAGAAAATTCATTCCCACTCTTTATATTTTAACCATAGACAATTTATTAATTTAGAACAATGATGGCGATACAGGTGAAGTTAACAAGTTTCACAAAAAGTTCACCCTATGCTCTTAACTGGGTTCTAAACTCAGGTTAGACACAAAACTAAAGCAGGTTTTTAAGTCTGAAAGTGAGCAAACAAGACTATTATATAAGATAGATGTGTATGCATGTGCACGAAAGTGCTAACTTTTAAGTATTTTCTCTTTAGCAATAGAGTAATTAGAAGCAACTATCTACCTTTAAGGATATTTCTACCACAGAATTAAATCCATAAGTAAAACATCTGATGTTTGACAATGCGCCCAAAGCTAATTATGAGTTGACATTATTTATTTTTATATTCATAATCATAAAAATCCATCTATGTATTGTTATATATTGACATCATTTTTCTAAAAAAATTCACTAACATCAGAAAAAGTCTGGCATTTCAAGTCATTTGCCCAGAATAATATAGTAGAATCCCCCCCATATATATTATGGTCAAATAAATTGTTAAGTTGCTTAGATACCATTTCCCTAATGAGAAGGGAGGTCCAGTTACTCTAGTGGTCTAATTATAAACTTTAAGTTGAACTTGAAAGTTCAAAATTGGTAAATTTGTTGAGCACTATTTGCACTCTATGTTTTCAGTAATCTGAACAAAAAAAAAAACTTCTACTTTGAATATTTATATGAAAATTTTTGCTCTACACTATTACTCACTATACAATAAATTACCAGACTACACCAAAATCTACATAACAGAAATCAAAACATGCTCACTTCATTTCCTTAGATGGAATTCTAAAACAATAGAAAATGTGTATTCTTTTGTGAATTTATTTTCAATTTTTTGGTGTCTACCTCTTGCATTTAATATTGAAAAACCAATTTAGTGGCCATAAATCTATGCTTAGTTCATACAAATAACCCTTCTGATATATGCAGTGACCTCCCTGACACTCCCCAAAACCTTGCATGTTCACACTTCCCCACACACAGTCATGTCACATTATCTCCTCAGTGCAGACACACATGGCCAGGTCTCCTCAAGGCAATGATGAAACATTTCTGCCAGAAGGTCTCAATGAAATCTTCATTTCACATAGAAGAAACTATGTGAAAGTTTCTCCACACCTCTCCCCAGACGATATACATGGAAATGGTGGCTGCAGCATCCTATCCAGCATGAAAAAAATAGAATCTACCTTGGATTCTTTGTACCTCAGTTCACAGGACACCAATACTCTGACATAGTTGTGGTGGGAGGAAGCGGAAAGAGCGGGATATCTCTTCTAAGTCATTTAAAAGTTGTTCTGGGCTTTAGCTGCTCTTAAAATACACAAAGACATTTAAATATTGTACCATCAATGACAGACTATAATGACTTTTTTAAGCAGATACTTGACTATATGTGTGTACACACATTTTATACATTTTATTTATAGATCTACAATAACCAATATATAATTGTCAGTTTAAATTAAAAATACAAAAAAACTGTAATTCCAAGCTCTTTTTTTTTTTAAAGATTTATTTTATTTATACAAGAACCAGATGCGCAGGGAAGGTGAGAGGATTTACCAGAGACAGAGCGGGGAGCAGAACAGGCAGACTGACAAAATACACTGCTGAGGGGAGCAGCAGGTGAGACAGGAGAGGTCTGCTTCGCCATATGGGATTCTCGCTGGCCAGCAGGGATCGAACCTGTGCTACAGAGACTGCGGGCAGCTTCACTGTGCAGCGCTCAACCGCCAGCACCACCAGGGAGGTTCCCAAGCTCTTTTTACACCATGGAATTTTTGCCTGTAATTCAGCTTGGTGAGTGTTTATCACCTACTATGGACAATACATATGACAATAGTGTAAATGTGGGTGCTTAATCATTTATAGGTCTTAAATCAACAATATCATGTACTAGTGTGTGTATGTATGTATATTTCCTTTCTTTAAATTCACTGGGAAATAGTTGTTTTTAAATCTTCAGTGAAGCTAATATATTTTCACTTATTCATGAGAATTTTCCAAAATTCACTAAAGCTAACAATCATTTCCAATGTAAATTACCTGTCAAAACCAAAAATTTGTGAATGTAATAATTTAAGCTTATTTGAACTACACAGGTTCCTAAAGAATCTGAAATCATTAGCACAGGAAGATTAACTTTACAATGGATACCAGTTAATGACGGCAAAGAACTCTTTTATAGAAGTGCATATAGATAGCAAAACTACCTATCCTATAAACTGATGGATATAAGACATTGAATGATTACTAAAATGCTTTGGGTTGAATTATACAAATAATCAAAGAAAAGGTCTAAAGTATTATTGGGAAATCAAGAGAGATTATTATTCCTTGATCGCTTAAACATTTTAATGATTCCCAAATCCCTAATTGTCCACCTTCCCCTTGACATGAATAGCACAAACTTTAGAAGATGCCAGATAAATAGAAAACAGAGACACACTAGCTGTAGATAGTTTTGAATATTGTATATGTTGCTTTTCTCTTTTTCTCAGACATAGAAATTGTGGCTCAAGGTAAAAAGTCTGCCCATGCTCTTTGTACCTACTGCTAGGGTTTCAGCTCTTTGCATTATCCATGGTCATTTCTCTGGAACTGCCACAATGCAAGTTGCCTGTACATGTGCTGACATAGAACCATTGTTTCTCTGAAAATTATTTATTGTACATTAGAATTTTCAAAGCATAAAAGGATTATTTGAAACCTGTGCAAATCTATGACTTACCAAAAAAAAAAAAAAAACCTTCAAAAAACAATTGACCTTTATAAAAATAAATGTAAGCAGTCATGTTTGTCAAATATCACAAAGATGAGGTCAATCTAAAGAGGCTAGCCAGCTCAGGCAACCTGACAGCCAATTCTGGTAAATGCGAAGGTCATTAAAAGAAGCCACAGTGAAACTCATGTGACGTGACCATTTGTATATTAATTGTGGTGACATAATGAGGGTTAAATTAGACCCAATCAAAAAATGAGTGCACTCCTCTATTTTATTAAGGCTAGTCTGCAAGAAATAGCTGTAGAGCAGTTACCCCAAAACAGCCATTCCACTGTGCAGGTAGCACTATAATATACTTTAGCAAATAGATCAAATAAATGCTTTTGGATTCAACAGACTCACCCATTCCAAAAGCATGACCAACACAAGCCTAAAATTATTTTCAGTTTGACTCCCAAGGCATTGTTTCATTGTATTACCTTCAGTTGAAAAAAACAAGTGAAAATTCACAATGATGCTGTAATTTAACAAATTTCAAAAGCTGACTCTGACAAAAGTTCCTCCATACTACCTGACTTTTCCAGTTAGGCTTTATATATTTATCCAATTAACTGAAATATTGCCAACATTTTTCTCAATTTTGTTCTAGATCTATGCTGACTTACTGTCCTATTAAACTAGGAGCTTGCTGATTTACTTTCTCTGCAACTGGTGATTCAGAAATAGCAGCAACTTTTAAGGATTTTTTAATGGAACTCAGCTCCCAAACATGTAAGCTAATGATATGTACTCCACAACAGCGCCTGGCAAGTTTGTACAGATTCTTAAGGACAGCCTTCCGCAGAAGAATATATACCCAGGGATCTAAGATTTGATTCCAGGTTGCCATTCGGAGTGCAAAAAGTGTTGTTTCACAGGTCTCCAGGGATTGGTTTCCATTTATTCCAATGTTGGCCATTGTCACCTGCAAAACAAACAAAACAGAGAATCAGCTGATACAGAAATTTTCTTGACCCTATGGTTGTTAACAATGCTACATGGTATTTATCTCACTTTTCACAAAATGATGCTATTTTGCAAAATAATGACAAAAAAAGAAATTAACATAGCAGAAATTCTGATACATCTACCTGAAACTTTGAATTCAAACTGACATCAGAACTATAAAATGATAATTTAAATGGTGAGCCAAATGTATACAGACCCAAAGGGGGATAAAAAGTGACTTTTTCTTAATTCTGGGCTGAAGTATATAGATAAGCTATAAATAAGAAGGATTTTTTAATGAATTTAAAGCATCTGATACTGAATTTCACATGCCTGGTGATAGTCTAGAATATTACTTTTAGAATTTTTGACTTGGTATATATTTGACTTATAACGATATGTCTTCTCTTTCATATTCTGTTTTCTTTGCCTTTCACACTAACCTTAACTTCCCTTTAAAAAAAAAAAATCCAAAACTAAGGCCTTTGAGAAATGAGATGCCCTCTTTCCTACCATTGAGACTTAACAATAACTGTGAATTTTTATCTTATGTGTCCATATCTGACCAACCATTTATGATGTTAAAGTTGATTTGGGGGAATAAGTTCATAAATTGTCCCAGCTACATGTTAGAACTGATCTAATCACTTGGCCCAGCTTTACCTTCAAGTAAACAGTTGCAGAACAGACAAATAATGTGTCTCTGAAAACACCTTAGATATAAAAGCAAATGTGAAATAAATGAACAAAGATGAAACTGAAAACTTAAGAAAGGCTTGGGCCATTACACCACCATGATTAAGACAGGATTAACAAACCCAAATGAAAAGAAAATCCAGTCTTCTTGATCTTCTTAATTAAACCCTTACCAGAAGTAAATGTCTTAATCTAATGATCCTAATGGCTGACAGACAAATGTCCCTTATCAAAATCTGCATTGTCTATACAACAAAGTACAGACTCCTTAGCATCTGGAGTCTACTTCTGACCTCATCTCCCATCAAGCTCATCTCTCTTACAAATATCTTATTTTCCAACCATTGTGAAGCTCTCACCCAGATTCACCATGCCCTTTTGAACTTTAGTTTGTATAACCCTGTTTTGAACTACTCCCCCTTTCTCTGCCAGATAAACTCCTATCATGCTTCAAAACTTATGCAAAAGGTGGACTCATCTCCAAGAAACTTCCTCCATATTAACTGGGATGAATGAGCAAGTGCCCCCTCCTCTATGTTCCCGCAGCAGCCTGTCCTGACCCCATTATATCACAACCACGCTGCATGATAATTATGCATTTATCTGCATATATATGAGTACCTCTTCTTTTTCTTCTTATTTCTAATACCCAGTATAATGTGGATGCCTAGAATAATACTCAATAAGTACTGGAATGAATAAAATTTATATATTTTTTTTTATTCCTTGAAGCTATTTCTAGAAGCACAGCAAGTAGTCATCCGAGAAGCATCTGATCATCCATTACATTGCTCTATTTTTGAGGCTTAAATTTTGAGTGTGAATGCAAGAGCATGAACTAGTGAAAGATTCCAAGGTTCACTTTCTAGGGGAATAATATATCAAACTGTAGACCTAAAGGTTCTGTTCCTGATAAGGCTGACCAAATTTCAACACAGAAAATTACAGTCTCCACACTATAGTACCTGAGTCTGACACAGACTCATCACTGCCTCCTCAGTCACTCAACAGGATTGAATAAACAAATCTATATGGGCCCAATTCCTGAATGAAGAAAGCAGGGCAAAGACCCAAATGGCAGCTGAACTGAGGTATTTCCACTTCATATTTTTTCTTTACTCACCAAGTATTTATTATCTGCTATATGCTAGGTAAGGTACTAGATGCTGAGAACTCAGTGACAAATGAAACAGACATGTGTCTGCCCACATGAAACAGTCTAATTGCTGTGTTTTGGGGTCGGCAGGAATATGACAAAGATGAACGAATAAATTTCTCCTACCTCATGAATATATTAATTGAACACATGTCTCATCAATTACCAGGTGTGTTTCTGAGACTCTCAAAGCCCACTTGAGACACTGCTCTGTATAGCTGGAAACAAAGATGCTCAGTATAACTGTATAGAACATCTGAGTCCAGTTTAGAGATAATGCAAAATGAAAGTGCCTGAATAACATGGATTGCACTTCTCTAACTTTCCTCTTTCTCTGAAAACAGTGGTGTGACCCCTGCTGTGAAAAGACGCTGAGTTCTCTGCAGAGGGAAACCAGTGCCCAGGTTTCTCTCCAAATACCAGGCAAGGACCAGGCACTCTCACTGTCTATCTTTCGACTTCTAGACTGGTTGACAAGTTACTTTAAAGCCTACCTGGGGAGAAATACTAATCCCTTAGCTATCAATAGAGATGTAAGTGGGATAGTAATATTAGAGAAAGATCATTAATATATTATTGATACTAATATATTGTTGAAAATCCAAGACAATTTAAGTTTTCAACAAAGGATCAATTATAACAATTTAATGTAACGGAAAAATATGCAAGCATTAGTGTTTGTGATTGTTAATTTTTATTTAAAATTTTTATTGAAGTAACACTGTATTATAACATGATATAAGCTTCAGATATGCATTATTTAAAATCACCATGTGAATATACAACATTAAGTTAACCACTGAATGTCCAATTCTATCCTTCACCATACAATTGTTCACTTTTACCCAATTTACTAGCTGCCACCACCACCCACCCCCAGCTGCTTCCCTTCTAATGACCACTAATTGGCCTTATAGTCTAAGAGTTTAGCTTTACTTATTTCAACCATTTGTTTTTTCATATATACTACATATGAATTAAATCATACAGTGTTGTCTTTCTCCATCTGACTTATTTCACTAAGTATAATAACCTCTAGTAGGTCCATCCACATTGCTTCACATGGCAGGATTTCATCATTTTTTATAGCTGAATAGTATTCCATTGTATACATATATCACATCTTCTTTATCCATTAACTTTTTAAAATTCAAGTTATCAAACTGTATTGACTAAGCAATCCTAATTTTGCAAAAAAAATTAACATGTAATTTTGCTCATAGAAAAAAGATATTTCAGTGTTTTCACTGATTAACTATAGACAATAGAACTGCAAGGATTTTTATTTTCTACTTTAGGTTCTCTCTAACTTACTAATTTTTTTTAACTAGATACTACATTTTTTAGTAATGTGTGCTTTGTCCCCCAAATAATTAGCTGAAATGTGCACAACTATGTATAAGTAGTGATGTGCTACAGAACTTCCAGAAAAATTTAAGACTAGCAGAAAAATTTAGACGAGCAGAACTGTGAGTGCTGGGATAACAAAGAATGTCTGCCATTTTCCCTGGATTCTGTCAACAGTCACTTCATAAGCCTTCAAAGTGTTCTTTTCTGGCTGGTACACACAAACTTGATTACAGAGAGTTGTGTACAGGTTCTCCTCACAAACACAGCCTTTCAGCTCATGTCCAAGAGCAACTGGCACATGAAACTAAAGGAACATTACAAGTTATTTTCCAAATATCTTCCTTTAGAACTTGGCACACTATGACTCATCTTTGCTAATGATTAGAATTCAAACTGAAGAGAGGACAAAACGAAGTGTTTGTATTTTCTATGGAAAAAATCAATTAAAATGATACTTATGAACATTCAACACTAAGATGAGACAAACATAACAACGCCAAAAAAAGAATAAGGGAAGGAGAGTTTTTGTTCATTGTCAACTGCAAGGAGCAAAAATGATAGATGATGAAATAAAATCTCCTCCATTTGGGCAACAAAATACAATTGCATCAACTGTTAAGGTCACTGAAATTAATGACTCTGTCAGGCTACTTTATTACAGATAACAGCTCATACTCATTATAATTTTATTGCGGTTACTCCATCATCCCTTACCCTAAGTCTGTATATCTGTTAGCCAGTGTCAGGACCCCAGTGGCTTTTCACAATTTAAAACAACAGTAAATTCCAGAATTATACTTAATCATACATTTAATTATGATTTCTTCTTATGAAATTTCTCATGGAATAAAACAGAATAGATTATTTACCTGTGCTAGAAAAGCTCGTCTTACATGCTAAACCAAATAATCCTCATAATAATGCTATGACAGATGTATTGTTATCTACATTTTACAGATAAGGAATCTATGGTTGAACAAGATAAGGGACCTGCCCCTTGGTGTCAGGGCCTAAAAAGAAGCCTGCCTAGGGTCTGATTTCTAATTACTATACCAAACTGCCTCCTGACCCTGCAGCTTATAATATTTGGTCAATCTTCTTACTTATCTTGGTCCAGAAGATTAGAGAAAGTTTCTGAAAAAGTGGAAGACACTTAGAGAGGTCTTAGCCTGAAGGAGCAGAGACCTTATAGCAGTCCCTGGAATTTGTTGCAACCTCCTAAGTAGAACCCTTCCTGGTCCGGCCCTGCCCTGCCACTCTTCTGGTCAACATTTCCATCTGCGTCAGGGCAATGACAGGGTTGGAAGGAGAAAGCAGCATAGAATTCAGACCCTGCTCCAGTTCTAAAAATGACTGAAGACTTTTGTTTCCCCCCTTGAGATTAACAGATACATACACCCTGCCTCTGAGACAAGCCAAGAATGGTAAGGCAGAGGTGACCCCTAAAACTGGTCTTCCAGATGCAACTTATTTATTTATTCATTTATTTCATTTCAACCCTTTTATTGTACCTATCAAATAATTCAAAGGTGCCTATTTACCTAAGGTTAAAGAATACTAGTACAGATTGAGTGTTTGTTTGTCTGCTTGTTTGTTTAAGGTGAGAAATGAAACATCAGCCCAGAAGTCTATAATTCCTTAGGGAAGGGTCATAGTCTGGTCAAAATTGAGAATCACTGGGAAGGTGAAGAAGAGAGACACAGACATGGAAAGTTCACCTGGACAGGGATCTGAGAAATGCAGGTAGGTGTACCTACAAGGTACGACCACAGAAA